ACGTTACAGAATACATTTTGGGGCATGTATTCTGTAATCTGTAATGGAATACATTTTAAAAGTAACCTTCCCAACACTGATATATATATATATATATACACATACACATATATATTTATACACTCCTAATTGGGCTAACCAAACATAAACACATTGAATTTGTACTCACTTAGTGAAATTTGTGCACGACATTCTGCACAGCGGTAATCTTGCCGGTCTAGTCCTATTTCAGGACAAATACTGAGCTCGTACTCAGACTGGTGGCTGACCTTTGACCTGACACAGGGTTTAGTGATCAGATTCATACACTTACTATGGCAACGATAATAGCATCCTGAAAAAAGAAAGAGATAACTTCAAATTATAATATAGAAAGTTTTGTTTTCGCCATCAAGATTACTCATTGTCTCACCTGTCACTGGTTCAGACAGAAACATTTCATACAACAGAATGGAAGTTAAGCCTCTTTGTACTAGGGGGCAAATGGATTGCACAGATCTCTAATTACCTTCTGAGTGTATTAAGGCTTGAGAGCACAGCAAATGATATTAGAAGTCTGAATTTTGAGCAGTGTTAACAGAAATGTTTCAAACTTTTGGGAAGTAAACTTTTGGTAATCTTACAGCGCTCTACCAGTATCTACTATGTCTCACCTGTGCAGGTATACCAAGTCTGGATAAGGCCCCAGATAATAGTGCTACACTTATCACAGGTCTGTTTCACACTCTTGCTCTTTTCCTTGGAGAAGCGGTGTTCCAGTAGGACTCTCAGATTAGGCTCATCTTCCTCTGGATCCTTTAAAATGATGCATGTGAAAAACAGAACACACAAAACATGGCTGTAACACTGTTTTGTGTACAGCTGCAAGAGATAGCAACCTATGTGCAATTAAATTTGTTTACACTTACACTACCTTGTGTTTTGTATAGCCTAAACAAAACTGATGGTAATGCATAAAAAAACATCAAGGATTAATTTCCTGATGTATGTAACTCTTTTGATTCACAAAACTTTTCTGCTGAACTTGGACCAGAAGGCATAACAGCTGTCTTACAATATAATTTGAAGTGCTCTGGGTAAATTTCATAGATAGAGATATAATTTGAGTTGCTTCACATGATAAAGTTCAAAATGAAAGAGATTATGGATGTTAAGAATCAAGCTAAGCAATTGGATATGTTTCACTGCTTTATTAAAAAAAAAAGAAGAAGAAGAAGATGAAGATTCCTTTGTCCGTTATTATCACCGTGACTTATTCTTTAACATTTTGATTATGTTACAGTAATCAGTGTGACACACTGCCTGTGTGTTAAAGTGCTGTTGTTAGTGTTTAAGTGTTGTTAAAGTGAAGAAACTGTTGAATTGTTAAGACATGGGGGGTGACTTCAGAGAAGAATCTTTCTTGGTCAACCTGGATCTTTCTATTGGAAACAAACCAATACACTTTGCAAAACAAAGCCAGATGATAACTGATACCTTCTTTACTGTTGATGAATGGGCTTGATTAATGAGCTTGTTTATTTGAAAGCCCTTTAATACACTAGACTGTAAAATTTTGTTTTCTATCATTTATAAACAAAAAAATGGAATTTATGCAAACTCTTCGCCAACTCTTCTCCACGGATGTCTGCAATGCATTTTCCCACATTTCATAAAGGGCAAAATACTCAAATCAAAGCAGTTTGGAGTGTTTTAGATGTTTTTCTACCATAGTTATCACCCTGTATACTTACTGGCCCAACATGATCACTAAGAATCTCCTCCTCCTCTGACATCAATCCTCCACACATGGTCACTTCTCTAAGGGTTTCTTAAGAGTTCAACTTGATTTTAAGGTTTTGACCTTACTAAGTTCTCAGATGACATTATAATTTAAAACTATATTAATAAAACTGAACTTTGCATTTGTACAGATTTCCATTAATATTTAAAGCCTGTTACACTCATCCAAGAACACACAACTACAATATAATGTCATGCCCTTCTCAATTTTCCCCTCAGTCCCAACCTTAAGTTCTTGCAGCTTGAGGCGCAGGTGGATAAGTTTCACTACATTGTCTTTTTGTCTCTCTGAATGCTCTGGCAGCTCCAAGATCAGCTTCTTACATTCTTCTATTGCCAGTTTAAGCTGTTCAATGTCTGATGCCACAAAAGAACCCTGTAACATGATATGAAAATGGAAGACAAGGAAGTTTCACATTTTACAGTATACACAGTTAAATTGAAAATGATAAATTATTTTTACTGGGTTACAAATCAGAAAAAAGTAAGGAGTACTTACCACAGGCCTTGAGAAGTGATCCTCAGCTAGACCGAGGTCCATGGTTCGATCTGAACTGTGTGTTCTGGTCCCAGGAAAAACCTCAGGTCTTGCTTCTAAATTGAGGAAAACATGGCATAAAGCGCTGTTCTTCTTGCAAGCATACACACCACATTCTGGCAAGTGCACTCGGTCACGCTTGCTAATTTCATCCACATGACTATTGCAACTCAAGGCATGTCCTACACTGACTTACCCCTTAAGAATTTTTGAAGGGAAAGAACAGCACAAAAATGCAAATGGAAAATTCATGTGTGATTATCCACCAAGATTTGGCAATGTATAACTCTGTCAGTTGACAGTCAGGGCGTAGGCATACAGAGTCATTACAACTGCTGTTCACAGGCAGAATGAACTTTGAAGTGCTTTATTACTGCTTTATTACTGTCACATTTACATGTCTGCAACCAATCTCTTTCACAATTATTCGTTCTGAATGTGTCGAAATTAGTTAAACCATCCGACATCCCGGGGCTAGCGATTTTTCCAGTCGGGCTACCAAAATCCATCTCAGCCCTGCCCGTCGGGTTATCATAGGAAGGAAAAATATATGTCAATGCTTCTGCATTCTTTCGCAAATGTATCTGGGTAATTTTATCATTGGCATCAATGAGCCACTGTCAATATGTGACATATTGAAATCGCGTTTGAATTTGTGCTTTCTTTTTGCGTTCACTTTCACGTTGCAATCGCATGAACTGTGTATAGAGAGCGGCAGTACTGATTGGTGAGTGACAGATTAATTGCGCACCAATTCCTCTGGCATCGTCTTATCAATCGTTAGCTTACTATTCAAACATGACAAGTAAAATCTCCCGCAGCAGGCTTAAACATGTGATAGAGGTTGATTGCGCAGAGAATCACTGACCGTTATGTAAGTACGTGTGTAAAAGCAGATGGATTTACGCAGGTATTTTAGTTCTGCAGAGCCAAATAAGACAGTTCAGGGTGAAGAAGGGAGAGCCAAGGAAAAGCCTACCACAAAACGGAAAAGTTATTACCAATCAGACTATAAGGCAAAAAGAAAGCACAGCTTTTTTGGTTTCATGGACAAAATAATTTCTGTGGCTGGAATATAATAAGCTAAATAACAATGTTCTGCCGGGTGTGTCGTGAGTTTCCCTCAAATTCTGAGTCGACAAGCGCCTTTGTTACTGGGACCAGTAATTTTAAGAAAGACCCCATCAGAACCCATGAGAAATGCAAGAAATGCACTATTGCTCAGTCTGCAGTATCCTTCCCAGAACAAACACCAATTGCAAAAAACATACTAAAAATAAACCAAGCACAACAAGAAGTCCTGGAAAATCTGTTTAGAACAGCGTACTATGTTGCAAAGAGTGAACTACCATTGGCAAAATTTAGCAGTCTTTGCAAACTTCAAAAGGCAAATGGCCTAGATCTCAGTTCCACTTACCTGTGATTTCAGTGGAAATTTCAAAATCAGGATCTGACACACACTGATTCATGTTCTACACAGTTCTTACAAGTTCATAGAAATTTCTGTTCAATTAGAACCAAATATTTGAGTTGATGATTGTAATTTTTATACAGTTGTTGTAATTTGTGTTTTAACTATTTTTTGATTGATTTTTTGTTTCCTTTACAATATAATATTGTAAAGGAAACAAAACATCAATCTTTTTTTTTATTTGGGCTACTTAAATTAATTTGGACTACCAAAAACTGAAGAGTGCCTGCCCGAAGGGCTACCAGGGATTTTGAAATTTTGCGAGCCCTGTATGACTTGTACTTTTGTTTAAAAAAAACAACAACAAGAACAACTTTGTATAGAATTTGTGTTTTACCAATCTCAATTTGTTTCATACAGTTTAATAATTGGCACTAGATGTTGGCAGAATGATCCAAATATCAATATTATTGATGCAAATGCTGGCCTTGGGATTAGACAGATACTAGTGTGATAGGATCGATGCTTCGTTTCTATCCTCCAAGTTCAGTATGTAGCCTACTGAATTGCATTATATAAATGTTTTTTTAAATGACAAAATATACTAAACTATACACTATATGCTACTATACTAAATTAACATTCATAAAAATATACACAAAATATATACTTTGTGTTGACTGTCACATCTATTTTTTCATATATAACATATTTAATCAACAGAAGTTCACCCAAAGTGCTTTAGAGACAGCACATTTACATTCCTGGTCTTCAAAAAACCCCAAGTTTCAAGATACATGAAAATCTGAAAGATGTGTTGCTATGTGTTATGGTGGCAAGTAAAATTACAGTGACAGTGATTAAAATGTCATCAGCATTAGCAAATTAATGATGATTCTTCTCATAAATCATTACGCACTAGCCTGGCCTACATAACCTGTCTACAAGTTAAAACTATCAGTATCAGTACTGATATCAGCAATACTGGCCCTGTATTTACTTGGTGTAAATACATCAATATCAAAATTTGCGCAGCAGTAATTGACACCAAGACTTTCATAAGTCTGATCAATATCCATTCTTTACTCAAACTGATGTTTGGAATGTTCATCTGTTACAATACAAGTCTGAATTTAAATTAAAGCAAGTGACAAATTAACATTTAAAGTGCACTGAGAGTAAACTTTCAGCTATCCACACTGACAACTGAAATTATTCTGATGAAGTGAACAATGAGTAAACAGAACTGAATGATGGAATTTAAAGGTTGAACAAATTCAAATATATTTAAAAAGATTAAGTCAGTGTTTAGCTATTCAAATAATGTTTAATAAACTAAAAGAATCACATTATACAAACAGTGTTGTTACCTGCGTACACCTCTGAACAAAACATGTTGAAGGAATTCAGCCTTGTAGTTCCCAATAGACTCAGAATAATGAGGCACCGTAGAATCAGAACAACTATCAGTGAGTCATTCTTGCTCATCAAAAAGCAAAAAGTGCATTTTTCCAAGTCCTAAATTACAGGAAGTGTTACTGAAGTACTGCTTACTCGCATGCGTTTCATTTCCTCTACTTCAGCTACAGCATTTCCAACTTCCTTTTCCTTAGTCACAACAGTCCAGCATCCTTGCTCCTTATGCATTAGCAGGATCTGCCCTACATTACAAGGAAACTATTAAACTAAGTGCACAAATTGATGCAAGCTCAATCATTCAGGTAGGGAAATATCAAAAAGTTTACTCTGTTCATCTGGATGTAGCGTTTTCCATGGGAGAAATGTTTCGTCACTCATCCAAGTGACTTCTTCAGTCTCAGCTGACTGCTTAATGATCAAGAAACTGACCTCACAGCCCATGTTTGTCAGTGGTGCTAGTTTCAGTTATTATGCAAATGTACTGTTTATACGGTTGGGGAAACCTGCTGAGACTGAACAAATCACCTGGATGAGTGATGAAACGTTTCTGCACAAATTCACTTTAATGAGGGAATTATTGCCTATACAGTAACTGAGATATACTGCTTGTGTTTTTGAAAAGGAAGCAAACATACATAGTGACATTTAGGAAAAACTGGAACCATGAATGCAAAAAAACCCCACTTCCCACTGCAACAACAAACTGTTTTAGAAAGGTAAATGCCAAGATCACAAATACCACTCGCTGAAATGCAGCCGCAAAGCATCACAAAGCCACCACCAGGTTATACAGATGGCTGTATAACTGCAACTTTAGCTTCCCGCAATTAAATGAACATGATTGAGCAATATTTAAAATGTGTGCGCTCCCAATTAAAATCCAAAGTAAAAACAAATCAAGCACTGTGATTGACACATGCCTCCATGTGTTAATCACAGCTGTTGGCGGTTCCTGGACTAATGTGGAGTAACACTATGCTGAAAGACAGATATGAAGAGCTTGTCCCTCAAAACATCATCATCTGTTGCTTGGGAATCCTTTGGATTTAGCACAAGTGTCCTGGAAAAAATCATATGCAGCTACTTCTATGTGTCTGTACTGCAAAGCAACACAACTTCAATCACCTAAAAAGACACCAAAAACTGCAGTAAAATTCATGCATGAAGGCCAAGAAAACCATTGCAGTGCTTGCTAGCATGAATCATTCAGTACCATTGCAGACATACACCACGTGTGCCCACTAAAGAAGTTTTGTCAGTGAAACTGATCAGTGTGAGGTGCAATAAACTCTGTCTATATGGCTTAATACTAAGATGAAGCAGGCAAATGAAAGACAACAATGTATATTATTTCCCTAAATTTAACTACAGGTGTGAAAGCAATCCTTAGACAGTTGTATCATAACTTGTGGCAAACCTCACCATGTTGCGGGGGTGTTTTGTGTCCTTGGGGACCATCCTCTTCCTCTCCACGATCAAATGGATTGAGGCGGGTTTGGCGAAAAAGTGCAAGTCTCTCATCATACTCCATTTTATTGGCTACATCTAAGAAAGACAAACAAAACAAAGCAATTGTCTTCTCTTGGCTTTATGTATTGAAACATTACGAGGAATCTCAGTTTCCTTTCAGAAGGAAGCTGGTTAGCCAGTGTTTATACCTGGTTCGGCTTACTGTGCAGTGATAGACTGATAGACTACTTGGTCATGAGCTGTTCATGGGTCATAAACTCTCACTAAGAGCCCAATGGTTTCAAGAAAAATAAAGGCAAAATATGTGTTCCATGTTACAAGCAGAAATATGAATCCGTGCACATCTTTAACTTCGTTCAAATACATAATACATGGTCCTCAATGAGAGTTATACCAAGGCTACTGCTATTTTATACTTGCAATTTAGGTCAGATCTTAAAAAAGATTTAGTCTTACACATTACAGAAAAAGTTCCTTTGCATCTAAAATGAAACAAAATCTACTTTTTCATCAGATCCTCCCTACCTCACAAAACTCTTTCAAACTTCAGATCCGTATGCTAGAATACCAGAGAATACAAATGTCCTGTTGAAAATTGTAACCATAACGAAGGAAACTCTGATACATAATTAAAGGGTTAGGGGTAGTAGTAATTTTAATTTAATTCCATGTAGATTTTATGAAGCTACACTACAGCCAGCCTGACAGGTACACTAGCACTCCCTTTGGCTGGTTAATTACCATTAAGTCTAATTTTCACTGAGGCTGAAGATGCATGAATCCCAATGGTATGTGTAAGCTCTACTTCAACAGTCAACAAAAACACGCCCTACAGACATTTTATGGACGACTTAAGTAAATAAGGTCAAACGAGGTAACACTGCAAACACTGAAAAGACTGAGAAACGTTAAGTTGGAGCTTTATTTCACTAATTATTACCACTTAAGGATAATGCTGCAGTAAGTCCTAATGTGCTAAGAGGTAACCTTAATGTTATTTCGTTCATCACAGCTTAACAGGGCGCTAACAGGGCGCTAAAAGGGCAAGTCCATATCCAAGCACGGATGTCAACAAACAGCTAATGCTAGCTAGCTAACAAGCTTTTAAACCAGCAAGTGGTCCGTTGATTTGATGCTAATGTTTGGTCATTAAAGCGGCCGTCTAGTTGGAAGCTTACCCCGTTGTTGAACGAATTTATCAGCAGCAAACTAGCAGCTATATTATAATATAATAATATATTTTGTGGACGACGTTTATGATGAATATAGGCAGCCGTCCCCGTTTTGTTTTGCCTCTGTCATGGGTAACATCACACGGGGAAAAAAAACGTCAAGTCATACTTCGTCAAAGTAGCGAGTTCCGGCGAGATTTTCAAAATAAAAAATAGCCATTGCCATAATGAAGTAGTGTAGAAGAAATAAAAGAAAATCAAGTGGTAAATAAAGGCTACATTTAAAGCGACATCTGTATTTGCAACTTAGTAAATATGTTTTGACACGTGGTATACTAATATAGATTACTGTTAATGGTGTAAAATAAAGCGGTACCTTTAATTTGAAAAAAAAAAAATCACCCTCAGTTTTTTCTCATTTTATGTGATTTTAGGTACCTTCCAATTAATTTCCTCAGTAAGATCCCTTTAAAAGTGCTGACTGCATGTCTTTTACTTTTTTATACACATCATCTAAATATAATCCTTAAATGAATTATTAGTTGTACTGATAATGAAAGAAATGTCATGCAAATAATACTTTTCTCTACAACAAATACAATATAATTCTCCTAAATGGCAGTTAAAATTATTATTATTTGTTTGTTTGACCGCTGGTTTTATAGTTCCCTTTGGCCTTTCAGTGGCTTTTGTTTGCTTGAAGACAAGAATGATTTGTGTAGGAAATTCAATTTCAAACTCCTCAATTTAAACTGGAAATTTTTGGATTCATGCAAGGACAAAACGGGTTTCATGCTGTTTAGCAGGACTCAAACCACAAAGCGACTAATATTAGGTGACATATTACTGGGGAAATAAATTATTACAAATTTAGCACCTGAACACTGCACTCTGCAAAACCACATGTTATACTCATGTCATCTCATTTTCATAAACTGTCCATTTTAAAAACCACAAATGGATTTCTGAAAAATTTGAGTTAGTGACTGGTCATAAATATCACAGATGCTAGCTTTAAGAGAGAATATTCACGAGCTTACTGAATATAACAAACAGCATCTTCGCAGCAAACATGTTGCGTAAAAACTGAAAAAACAAAAGAAAATGAAAATAAATAAATAAGAATCAATACAGTGTAAGCAGTCGGATTATATCTGGTCCAGTATATCAGTGGTTTTGCTGTTAATACACAAGCAACTACAGAGAAACCTTTTTAAGTGTGGTTTTATTACCGTGGCTTGTTGCCTTGGTTAAAAATGCTTAAAAATGTAAAAAGTACTTCAGTGGAATATGATGAAACAAGTTCAAATAAAGGAGGGAGAGAGTACTGTTGGAGTTCAGGGTTGTTGCACATATTAAATAAAATTTTACATTATCCCGTTAGCAGCTGACAGTCTTTTTATAACATTTCTCCAATAACAGTATTCAGTATTAGGTTTCGCAGAAAATGTTTTGACCACCAAGCTTGTTATGAATTATAATTTACAACAGTTTGGGAGTTCCTAGAAGTTATTACCATGTATGATTGACACTGAAGATTAGATTTAAAGCTTTGCACCAAGCTAAAATACATAAAGATGGGCTTTAGTAAATCTACATGGAAAGATCCCTAGACTTGTCACATATAAGAAACATAACATATTTCTAAGTAAGAGTGTTGCCAGATTGTGATGAAGTGACAGTCACATTCTTGTGTTTGAGAGAGGCATGTGATCCATGTCATACACAACAGAAATGTCACTTTGCATTACTTCAAGAACAAGAACAAGAACAAGAACAACAACAATAATAATAATAACCTGCCTTAGTTGGCTTCCAGAGAAAATTAATGCTGATGTTGCTACATGTCTGCCATATCTATGAAGAGGCCATAACCCTATCATAACTGTATTTTTCAGTGTGATCAGTTTGGTGCCTCATTCTTTTCCTTGTTCCTTGTTTTTACTGCTTCTGGGAATGATGCTGCTTCTACTAGGAATCTGCCCTAAAAACCTTTTTACATTGAGTTTCATTTATTTGTGCACAAACTTAGCAAGTATGTGGCAATGAGCGTTTTGTTTTTTTCCATTTCTATTTCTATAGATGATTATTTCCATTACATACAAAGTCTTGAATTATAAGGCCTCGTGGTTACATAAAGACTTTATAGAGCAGCTTTTCTTCAGACTGTCATGTTACTTGTGCTTCTAAGAGTTTCTGAAAGTAGAATGGGAGGCAGAGCCTTCTGCCATGGAACCAGCTCACAGTTTGGGTTTGGGAGACAGAGACTCTCACTGCTTTAAAGATTTAAAGCTTTACCTTTTTGATAACTCTTATCTAGACTAATAAAGTTATAGGATCAGGCTACTTATGGACTTCTTCTTCCCCATTTTCACTCATCGTATGCCACTATTATCTCTCTCTACTCTCTTCTTTTTGTTGTGGTCTCTTTTCTGTCTCCCACCCAAACCAGTTTTAGCAGATATTCAGCAGGTATTGACTGATTGTTGAAGTTCTCTTTACAATCAAAGTTTTTTTTTAACTTACAATATGAAGCTTCTTAGGATGACTGTTGTTGTGAACTGGAATTATATAAAAAGCGAACTGAATTGAAATTAAGATTCACAAATAACCACCATACATAGCAGAGCTGCCTTCCCATATGGAAAAGAAATAGTAAAAACTTACATGATTGACTCATGAAAGTGGCCACTTTCTCATTACTTTCATATATTGTTTTAGGAAGTATCCAGAACATACAAGTTTCATTTATATAATTTTTCAAGGGATCTTATATCTGTTTTCACTCTTGTATGCTTTTCATACAAGTTTCACACAAGACAGATACAAACTTTATAAGATTTATATAGATCTTTTCCATATAGGTTTACTTGTTGCATCTAATGGAAACTAAAACACACACCAGTACTACATTCAGACCCCATTTTGGTTCAGCTTAAAGCAGATTTATGGCGATAATGAGGTTGTAGAGCAGATTTTCGCTGTAGAGACTCGGTAAACACGGGTCTTTCATTGTCTTTCATTTCACAGAGTATTTTCCATATTGGTCACATTTACGTGCTTCAGATAATCCCATTTCAATATTAGATAATGACAACCCAAATAAATACAAAATGCAGTCTTTAAATAATGATTTAATTTATTAAGGGAAAAAAGTTATCCAAACCTGCTTAGCCCTGTGGTTAGGTGGTCAGGTTATATTCCTTAAACCTATTAACTGCTTGAGCAACCCTCAGCAGCAAGAACTGCTGGCAAACAGTATGGTGCATTGAATCTTTCACATTGCTGTGGAGGAATATTGGCCCGCTCTTTATTTTAACTCAGCCACTCTAAGGTCATGCCAAAGCATCTCAATCTAATTTGAGGGCTAGGTTAATTAGTTATTCTCAATGGGCAACAGGTGCGAATGTGAGTGTGACTGGTTGTCTGCCTGTTTGTGGTAGCCCTGTGGTAGACTGGCAACCTGCCCTGCCTCTATGACAGCAGGGATAGGCTCCAGCCTGCTGGCCCTGAACTGGATACACAGAAGACAGATGGATGAATGTCCAGTCTCTCTAATTATGCAAATGAGAATTTGCATAATTATGATTAAGGAACTGACCATTGTTCCTTCAGTGGGCTGGTTTCAGTCATTATGCAAATGTACTGTTTATAAGATTTGGGGAAACCTGCAGTCAGATGAGACTGAAGAAGTCACTCTTATGAGTGACGAAACGTTTCTCCCACAAAACGCTACGTCCAGATGAACAGAATTAACTTTTGGAGAACTATTGCATTACTTTATGCTATTTTATAATTGTTTCAGTTTTCAGTATCCACTATTTTCAGTTAGGGCAGGGGGTTTTTTTGTAAAGATTTTCTAATCAAAATCATTTAATTAAAAACCTTTTAAAAATATATTTTATTGGCATTCATCCCTGAGGGTAGGCATTTTGTGGTCTGGTCATATGGACATAGCTTGAGTGTGTTTGTCGTTGGGGGAAGCAGCTGTGGAGATTTTCCTTTGCTGCAAACAGAGCTGTGTTGTGTGGCTAAATGAAGGCAGAAGTCATAGCACCAATAATAACATGCTGTTCCCTGGAAATTATGTAGTCACACGTTCCTTCCTTCCTTTAATCATCAGTAATTATAATTAAGTGAGACACTACAGATAACAAATGGTTCATTTTTCGTCACAAATCTGGCGTTCATGGTCAACGTTATCATTACAGGTCACTGACAGTGATGTCAGTGTGTTCTGGTCCGTGTCAGTTTTCCTCTGAGAAGCGCGTGTCGTGATCAGCTACATAGCTAGTACAACCTTAATATTTATTTAATATCTGAGACGGGATTGGCAGGAGAGACAAATGTTTCAAAGCCGTGAGACAATCTTTAAAAGCAACTACCATTCACAAATTACTATTTAATAAGGGTAATAAATTCTTTTTAGACACAAACCATCACAATGAATAGCATTCATTCATTTTGGGATTATCTTTCATCATCTTGAAGTTTCTTTGAAATTTCGGCTGTGCCAATGCATGTAATACAATTATGGACCATTACAATATGAAAATTTTTTGTTTGTTTGATATGTTTATTGATTAGCATTCAAATATCTCAGTGA